GTAAATTTAAAAGGGATTTTTTAAACTTAAAGATGCATGATTGTTGATATGATCACCTTAAGTGCTACCAATTTTTTGCCAGGCATCATGATCGGAAATCAAATATAACCTGAATAGGCCTATTGGAAAGTGTGAAAAAAAGGTTCCGTCATCCATTTTTCAAATCCAAGAACCATATATAAGAAGCTTTTTATGTCCATTACTCAGTAATTTCTGCTCATTGCAATGAACTTAAATTCCCTCGTGCTCTATACTCATCTGTCTCCTCTGAAATTGCTTCTGAATGAGGATGATGAACTTGCATGTATGGTTCTCCTCATGCTGACATCATATTGTGTTCAATTCATGATTATTTTGAGCATGGCTTTTGAGAAAAAATTGAAAAAATGCAAAACATTTCCTCCTTCAAAAGTGTATGAGGCTGAGATTGTGTAAAGTAAATGAAACTGGTGTGGTGTCCCAACAGTACATCATCCATCCATCCATTCAGCCCTCCCTCCATCTCTCCCTTCATCCATCCATCCATTGTGGAACCAGAGATGCTTGTTCCATATTTGTTAAAGCTCTTGTCATCAGTATTCATGCAGGAAATACTATAATAGCATTGCTATCAACTCTCTCACTGTACGGCGGTCTGCTGCAGGTGAGCTCCAGTACCAAGGCACTACTTGAGAGGGAAGCATGTGGCACATTTCCTGTGTATCTTTAAGATAAGGGCACTTGGCAAACTGGAATAATAGGATACAGTTTATATGGTGAGATACACCATTGATATATGCAGGTACTCAATAGCATATTTTGGGAATAGAATGAAACATACCGACCCAAGGAATCCGTACTTAAATATATACGCTGCTTCTTCAGAATAATCTATTCCCGTTGTTTCTCTTTAGATTTTTTGTGTGTGTGCGTGCATGAGTCCTAATGGTTAAAGTGTCTGCTCATCAAAATGAAGGCCCTGGTTCGATTCCCCACATGAGTACAATGTGTTAAGCCCATTTCTGGTGTCCCCCGCTGTGATATTGCTGGAATATTGCTATAAGTGGCATAAAACTATACTCACTCACTTTGGATTGGATGAGGAGGAACATATATATAGTACTGGTATATGCAAAGCTTCTGTGTGTTAATGATGGCTCCGACAGAACTTTGACAGAGTATGGGATATTCTGCTATTATTCTGTTTATTGATATTTACAGAAAAAAATCAATGGTAGAATTAATTTATTAAAATATACTGTTGAGGAATCCTGAGACAGCTGATTGTCAGAAACTAAAGTGTAATCTAAACTTGCCAACTATACACGCTGTATTGGATGAATATCTTCCAGTGTTAGCGTGACAGAAATATGTATGTAGTCCATAGTAGATCTAGTCAGTCGTACAGACCCTGAAGTAAATATATCCAAAAAAGCCCACGCAAGTCTAGAAAATGTGGCAAGTCTAGATTTCCTCAGCTTCAGGAAAATGAAGAAAGTCTCAGGGCTCCTTTTCATTATATTTTTTTTTTACTATGAACTTTTTTTTAAAATATGTTCATTTCAGAGACTAGTTGTTAGTCAATAGTAGATCATTAGGGGTTTATAGTCAAGGAGGATAATAAAGATTTTATGAATGCTTTGTTTGGTGTGTGGACAACTTGACTGAACCAGCTGTTGTTTCATGTGTCTTGCTTGTTGCTTAGCAACACACTCAGCATTATGCTAGTTACGCAATCATGACCTGTAGATAATCAAGTCTTAACCAGACAAACTGGTAATTGATAACAGCAGCAGGTCCATCAGCTCATCTCCAGCAAAAGTTCTTGGGACTAATTGTTACCAGCAATCCACAAGAGAATTCTACCATTGCCATGTAAATAGCAATGCTCCTAATGTTACTAGTGAACCTTGATGTAAGACATCAGCAGGCCAACTAAACTGATATTGTATTTTGAAAAGACATCGGCCATGTTAAGATCTGTTTGTGTCCAGCATAGTGTAAAGTATGGAATGGATTTTGGAATGGAACAGTGGAATGAAATTTGGAATGGAATTTGGAGTGACACAAAATTGCTAGTGAGCTAGCACATTATAAACAAGTCTCCACTCTTATATGCTAAGACAGTTTATAAACAGCTGATCACTGATATATAGCACGTAAGCAAAGGGACCCTTGTGTCCTTAGTCACAACTGTATAACCTCGGCATCTTCATGTCAGTTTTCCAGCCACATAAGTGATTTTGATCTCCCACGCGTCTAGTTTGGAAAGTCTTTGTTCTATACTTTTGCTTGTTTCATTGTATTGCTACATCTTGAATATGACTAAACAGGAGGAAAGTTTGCTTTTGACAGTAACTCCAAACAGTGAAATCCCTAGTGCCTATTTAATTGCACTTTTGACAAAAACTTGGTCAAGCCAAACATGAGCACATATCATACAGACTGTTCAATGTGCTGCAGTAGACCAACGCTTAGTCTCTGAATATATATAATTTTGATAGTAACAAATAAACCAATTTAAATTGAAGAGGAGGCCCTAGAGAGACCAGAGATTCCTGAACCTGGGGAAATCTAGACCAATGCTTAGTCTCTGAATATATATAATTTTGATAGTAACAAATAAACCCATTTAAATTGAAAAGGAGGCCCTAGAGACACCAGAGATTCCTGAACCTGGGGAAATCTAGACCAACGCTTAGTCTCTGAATATATACAATTTTGATTGTAACAAATAAACCCATTTTATTTGAAAAGGAGGCCCTAGAGAGACCAGAGATTCCTGAACCTGGGGAAATCTAGACCAACGCTTAGTCTCTGAATATATATAATTTTGATTGTAACAAATAAACCCATTTTATTTGAAAAGGAGACCAGAGATTCCTGAACCTGGGGAAATCTAGACCAACGCTTAGTCTCTGAATACAATTTTGATTGTAACAAATAAACCCATTTAAATTGAAAAGGATGCCCTAGAGAGACCAGAGATTCCTGAACCTGGGGAAATCTAGACCAACACTTAGTCTCTGAATATATATAATTTTGATAGTAACAAATAAACCCATTTAAATTGAAAAGGAGGCCCTAGAGACACCAGAGATTCCTGAACCTGGGGAAATCTAGACCAACGCTTAGTCTCTGAATATATACAATTTTGATTGTAACAAAAAACCCATTTTTTTATTTGAAATCTAGACCAAGCTTAGTCTCTGATTTTGATTGTAACAAATAAACCCAGAGAGACCAGAGATTCCTGAACCTGGGGAAATCTAGACCAACGCTTAGTCTCTGAATATATACAATTTTGATTGTAACAAATAAACCCATTTTATTTGAAAAGGAGGCCCTAGAGAGACCAGAGATTCCTGAACCTTAGTCTCTGGGAAATCTGAAAAGGAGACCAAGCTTAGTCTCTGAATATATACAATTTTGATTGTAACAAATAAACCCATTTTATTTGAAAAGGAGGCCCTAGAGAGACCAGAGATTCCTGAACCTGGGGAAATCTAGACCAACGCTTAGTCTCTGAATATATACAATTTTGATTGTAACAAATAAGCCCATTTTATTTAAAAAGGAGCCCCAGTGAGTTGGGAGATTCAGGGGAACCTGAACCTGGGGTTATCTAGACTTGCTTCATTTAGGGCTTTAGCATTGCAGGGAGGGCTAGGTGGAAGGCAAAATCATGTGGTTCAGGGACTGTCAGACTGCTGCAGTATCATGTGTTTTACAAAAGTTTGTTAAACTCGCCTACCCCTACCATAAATATGAGAGCTCAATCATCTCTAATTTGACAGGAGCAGGTGGTGAGATCCACTCAGTTCTACTGGCAAACAAGGATAAGTTGAGCACCGACCTGACAATTGGCCTGTATTAGCATGTATGAGTGCCACCCACTGACGCTTGCCATTGTGAGCGAAGGGACGTCAGGTTGTCCTCGATCAAGTGTAGTGCCATGGGTGAAGCGGGTGGCCTGTCTCAGCAAACACCGAGTTCGACAGGGGCGCAGAATCAATTTCATCGTCATGCACTGCACATGCACTAGCCTACATCTGCTCTACCTTTCACAAACCAAATGGGTTTGCTCATTGCTGTGCACCACTTCTCGTAACCACGTTCTCGACACCGGTCCAACTTATCTTTGTTTGCCAGTACGGTGTCTTGTGTTACTGTTTTCCGCTGAAGGTAAGGATTTCTCACAAAGCTCAATGTACTCTCTAGGTTACATCTCTCTGTCATCCTGGGTACAGACTTCCTGCAGGAAAGTGATGCTATGATAGACTTTTGTGTTCATTTCTTCCTTGTTCAAAATACTTCCTCATCCCTGCCTCCTTCAAGTTTCTTAAAAACATCTTCAGAAGCTAAGTTTGTCCAACACAATTATAGTGAAACATCCAATGTTGTTCAGACGTACTTCAAGTTTCTTTAAATCACCTCCAGCAGTCTAAATTGTCTAAAGCTATGACACTGAAACCGCTGGTCACACCTCGTTCAAAGTACAGATTCTGATAAAATGTGGCTTGTATGGTGGATGGAGTAGGCTCTGTCATCATCACTCGAGATGGTACCGTTTCAAAGATGTCTGCTGCTATGAGCTTGTTTTCCCTGGGCAACTGAAACTAGCATTTAACACAGTCTGTTATCAATATTTAACATTAAAATGACACTCAAGACTCTAAGTGAAATCGTAAAAGAAACACTGGATATTGCTTATGACAGCTGGGAGAGGCAGCAAACATGAATGGAATGTCTATGCATTTTATTAATTACTGCTAATACATAATCATGCATGCATATGCAAATATTCACTGATATGTACTAAATGAAATTAAAACTTTATAGATGAAACATTTTTTTCCAACCCGCGAAAGACCCAGGTCATAATTGTTAATCAGTAACCCATGCTGGTTGTGAGAAGCAATTAATGGGATTGGGTAGTCAGGCCTGTTGACTCGATCCTATCCCAATTGTGTAAATCGATGCTCATGCTGTTGATCACTAGATTGTCTGGTAAAGGTTCCATTATTTACAGACTAGTGCCATATGGCTGGAATATTGCTGAGTGCAGCGTTAAACAACAAACAAACAAACATACCATTATTTCCGTGTGGTTAGAATATACTACTACTGACTATAGATAATCTATCACAACCAGATTGTTTTTGTGATATATCAACTACAGTAATGTGAACAAAATATCTGTTTGTATCTTCTTTTTTCGAAGTATATCAAAATGATGAACACTATATATTATTTTGTGAATAAAAATATAAGATATTTCCCAAAATGTCTCAAAAATAAATTGTAAACTTTGCACAGTGGTTAATAAGTTTTCCTCCGTTATAAAATGCAGACAACTTCTCTAAATTTTCTGTTGCAAATTTAATATCTACATTTTATTACAACTCTTTCTCTCAGCCTTCTCATCAGTGGACTCCTTAGGTATATGTGTGATAAAAAAGGTGATGGGTTTGAAAATAATTCAAATTCTAAGGATGTTTAATAAAAATCTTCTGCCAATACAAGGAAGCCAAAAATTTTTTCAATTTTGGGTGCTGCATATCATAATTTCCTTTTTTAGATATTAACCCAGTCAGATCATAATGCACTCCTTTAAGTTATGTAAACATTTCATGGTGAGCTGGTACAGGTGAAACAGAAGTGTCAGGAAGAGCTTACATTTTATTTATTTTTTTAAGTTCAGGGTATTGTTCATTTCATGATAAACTGCTGACTTGGTTGACACATGTCGTCGTATCCCAGTTGCGTAGATAAATGCTCATGCTGTTGATGACTGGATTGTCTGGTCCAGATTTGATTATTTACAGACCACCGCCATATAGCTGGAATATTGCTGAGTGCGGCGTTAAACAACAACCGACCAACCAATCAACCCTCATGAAGAACTCTGTTGAGATGAAAGCTCTCATATTTGTGAAACAGATATGATATCACCTTGGACTGCAATGAAGTCATCATACAGCAGAGAACTATATGCTTGAACTGACCAGGTGCACAGAATGTTGAAAAAAAACACACACTACTAAACCAATTTGTTCTGGTACTTATATATCAGTTCAAAAGTTAATAAACATGGTCTCCATTTCATCAGGTCAAATGTCACATTTGCAAATTTGGGATTGACCAAAAAATAAAAATATTAAGAAACATATTCATTCTTCATGAATAGTCCTGGAGAATGCCAGACTGCAAACACAAGTAACATTTTTCATTTATTAGGATTGCTGTTCACACTTGTCAGTCCAGAAGTTGTCGTAAACCCATGTTCATATCATTCCTGATTGAACATCAAATAAATGCTCAGTTCTTACTTCATGTCAAATGCTTAGGAAATGACCAGGGACTAATATATTATGCTCATGATGTGGACAGGTGCCATTAATTGTAATTACTATCGTCCATTTCCCAATTTTTATTTTAAATTGTATATTTGAATATTTTATGTATGCTTCACAAAACTGTTGATTATCTCTCCTCTCAAACACGACCTGGGTGAAACAGTTGAAGAAAATGATAATATTTTTTTTCAAAATGTAAATAAGTAAGTGTTTGATATTTGTGGCTTTATTAGCAGAAGATCTGATAAATATAGATCTTATCACACCACATACTGTTCAGAATGCCAGGACACCTTGTTGATGTAATCCTAGCTACATCTTATCACACCACATACTGGTCAGAATGCCAGGACACCTGGTTGATGTAATCAGGACACCTGGTTGATGTAATCAGGACACCTTGCTGATGTATTCAGGACACCTTGTTGGTGTATTCAGGACACTTTGTTGATGTAATCAGAACACCTTGTTGATGTATTAAGGACACCTTGTTGATTTATATGGGACACCTTGTTGATGTATTCAGGACACTGGGCTGATGTATTGAGGACACCTTGCTGATGTATTCAAGACACTGTGTTGATGTATTCAGGACACCTTAATGATGTAATCAGGACACCTTGATGATGATGTTACCAGGACACCTTGTTGATGTATTCAGGACACCTTGTTAATGTATTCAGGACACCTTGCTGATGTATTCAGGACACCTAGCTGATGTATGCAGGACACATTGTTGATGTATTCAGGACACCTTGATGAGGATGTTACAAGGACACCTTGATGGTGTATTCAGGACACTGGGCTGATGTATTCAGGACACTTTGCTGATTTCTATGGGACACCTTGTTGATGTATTCAGGACACCTTGCTGATGTATTCAGGACACCTTGTTGATGTATTCAGGACACCTTTGATGTATTTCTATGGGACACCTTGTTGATGTATTTGATGTATTCAGGACACCTTGTTGATGTATTCAGGACACCTTGTTGATGTATTCAGGACACCTTCAGGACACCTTGTTGATGTATGCAGGACACATTGTTACCAGGACACCTTTGTTGATATTCAGGACACCTTGATGTGATGATGTTATGTATTCAGGACACCTTGTTGATGTAATCAGGACACCTTGTTGATGTATGTTACCAGGACACCTTGACACCTTGTTGATTTAACCAGGTCATCAGCACACCTTGATGATTACCAGGACACCTTGTTGATGTAAGCAGGGCATCTTGTTGATGTATTCAGGATACCTTGGTGATGATGTTATCAGGACACCTTGTTGATATAATCAGGACACCTTGATGGTGTATTCAGGACACTGGGCTGATGTTTTCAGGACACCTTGCTGATGTATTCAGGACACCTTGCTGATGTATTCAGGACACTTTGCTGATTTATATGGACACCTTGTAGATGTATTCAGGACACCTTGTTGGTGTATTCAGGACACTGGGCTGATGTATTCAGGACACTGGGCTGATGTATTCAGGACAAATTGTTGATGTATTCAGGACACTTTGCTTATTTCTATGGGACACCTTGTTGATGTTTTCAGGACACCTTGTTGGTGCAATTAGGTCACCTTGCTGATGTATTCAGGACACCTTGTTGATGTATCCAGGATACCTTGATGATGATGTTACCAGGACACTGTGTTGATATAATCAGGACACCTTGTTGATGTGATCAGGACACCTTGTTGATGTAATCAGCACACCTTGATGTTACCAGGACACCTTGTTGATGTATCCAAGACACCTTGATGTAGTCAGGACACCTTGATGATGTTGTTACCAGGACACCTTGTTGATTTAACCAGGTCACCTTGTTGATGTGATCAGGACACCTTGTTGATGTATTCAGGACACCTTGTTGATGTAATCAGCACACCTTGATGATGTTACCAGGACACCTTGCTGATGTAAGCAGGGCATCTTGTTGTCAGGACACCTTGCTGATGTAATCAGAGAGCCTTGCACCTAGAATTGTACAAATATTACACCGTGGAACAACATAACCGTGTCAAACAGGACAGTTAGGCAATAGGAGGATGCATATCGGGAACCGTCGTTAGGACGAATTCGTTCGTGAGTTTTCGCCGCATCAATAGGCGCAGGAAAAAAGGGGGGGGGGGATGCGATCGTAAAATCATACATTTGAGCCTTCCTTGATAGATGATTCATGAGCCTGTATAGTAAATAGTCTAAAAATACTTATTCAAACGTAACCAATACTTTGTGCAATGACGTGCTTTAAGATGTGTACACATTAAACTTTTTCATGTAGTTTTAGAGTCAACAAATATCAAGGTCGAGGAAGTCAGCACGGAAGGGATTAAGTAAGAACGCTATACAGAGTTGCCTCCCCTACATTGTGACTGCGTTGGAACACCGTGGGAAAATAGGCTGGTAGGATTATTACAAATGGCCAAGTTCAGTACACGACCGCAGCTTATATTTTATATCTTCTCCAAGTACTAAAGCAACAGAAACTAATTCATGTGCCCTTATCAATTCGGCAAATGACTGGCGAACACGCGACCCCTGCGGTTTAAGTATCATTGCCCGACTCTGCGCCAAGTGAGCTCGATTGACTAAGTCTCAGTCAAGGTCTTCTGAAGCTGGTAAAGCCGTAATGGGTTTCTGTGTGCTTCTAGTCTGTGGCGGGTCATGAAGCGCGAGCGGTTACGGGAACACTTTGACCGACCACACATTTCTGAAGGTGAAGGAGCTCCACCTAGCGAAGGAAAAATGCATACTCAGTTTATTACTCACACGATTATATTGTTTGTATAAAACATAAAGCATATATTTTCAACTCTTTCGGTTGTGTCAGAAAGACCTTCACATATTGTAGTCATGAGAGGAATCGAACCACGGTCTTCGGTGTGATGAGCGAACGCGTTTACCACTAGGCTACGCCATAGGCGGATCGAAACACACACACACACGCACGCACGCTCACACACAAACGATCCGCCAATGTATCCCATCACCCCAGAACGCTTAGGATTCGATAGAATCGACATTAACCCATACTTAATCCCTCGCCTTGAAGCAACTAGTGTTAAAATCATTGATTGAAGTTTTTGAAATTCACAAACCTACATTCTCGGCTACTGATTTGCTCATACTCTCAACCACTGGTTTGTCAAGTCCATAGACGTGAACGAAGTTATAGCTGTGGTGACAGTTTTGTGTGAAACACCACGATGAACCAACGCACAGTCTCTATGTGTGTATCTTGGCTGCTCAAGGTTGAATCTGGTACAAGATCTCAAGTCTCCATAATCACCAGGGGACTCTGGTGAACTGAGATTCAAACCCAGGGTCGTGGGTTTTTGGGTTCCCAAGGGACACAACTCTGCCAAAGGAACTGTAGTACTTGGACGACTGCATTGGACTGGTCTGCCCTTAATGGTGAGGTGAAATTGGGTTAACGTCGTGCTTGAGAATATTTCGCTCATATGACGACGTGCATGCGTGTGTATGTGTATGTGCTGCTGCTTGTACTAGCCCAGACTGAAGCTGGTTTTATAGTGCTAGCCCACTGAGATACCATGCCGCAGTGAAGCATGAATACCCCACTCAGACACATTATACTGACTCCGAGCCGACCAGTCCTTGTTGTACCCATTAATGCCGAGCGCCAGACAGGGACCAACAAGTACCATATTTTAACGTCTTTTGGTATGACGCGATCGTGGATCGAACCCGCGACCTTCCGCTCTCCGGGCGGACGCTCTAACCACTACACCACGGAGGCGGATCTGCCCTTAAAAACAACATTGTGCAAATGTGGATTCAAATGACAGTTTTAGTTTGCCCTCATCAATGTGCTCGAACTGCTCTGGGGGAAACGTCCACGGCCTGCGTGCATCACTCTCGACCAACATCAAACAAGCCTCAATTCACTGCGCAGAGTTGCGTCCCTTGGGCACGTCAAGATCCTATCATCCTGTTCGAATCCCGGCTCACCTGGGTTTTCTTTCTGTGTTTGTCCTCGCAATACCCGTGTTCGTGGGTGTCGGAGACCTGCATCACTTCCGTCCTTCCTCCCAAGTGCTACGACGTGCCTACAAGAATACTGCTCAAACCAGCGTTAAACCCAACTCACTCACTCACTCTGATACCCGTGAAGGTCCGGGTTAGAATATTGATCTTCAGTAACCCATGCTTGTCCTAAGGGGCGACTAACGGAAGCGGGTTGTTAGGCTGCTGACTTGGTTGACACATCGGTTCCCAATTGCGCAGATCGACGCTCATGCTGTTGATCACTGGATTGTCTGGTCCAGACTCGATTATTTACAGACCGCCGCCATATAGCTGGAATATTGCTGAGTGTGGCGTAAAACTAAACTCACTCGCTCACTCACTCTGACATCAAGCTGATACGTCGGATTAGCACTGAATGGTTTTCGAAATGGCATTAAACGAAACTCTGTCTTACTAACCTGTAAATAACACATGTCTTTAAGAATATGCACATACAAATATTCATATAACTTGCCCTTCTAACCCAGTCTTACGTTCACTGCATGGTGTGACCCGGGACACCCACCTAATGTCATGTAATGTCATGCAGTGTCATGCAGTGTGTACATTCACAGGGAGTCGTCAAATATAAACAAAGTCTTACCTCGGCTTGCTGAAAATCAGGAAGTGATGCACGTGTGCACAAACAACATTAACCTATGTAATACCCTCAGGTTAAACTGACTTCCCCTCCTAGAACTCCGTGTCAAGTTAACTGTCGAAGGTTGAATTTAAGCCCAAACATGACCAGCTTTGCTCTGGAGCAGCAGCACCTCTTGCAGAGGCCCCGACAACATACAGAGACAGTTTCGGATGAGGAGGATATTCCCTCGATTTTTCTGTTGTACATTTAGACAATTAATAATATATTTTTTAAATTTAGAGCCAAAACGTTAGTTTTAGGTCCTCAACCCAGGTAGTGTTGACCGTATATGACTATATGGCAGTACATGAATGTCCTCGCGTTGAGGGCCGTAGGGGCTGTTGGGTAGTCTGGTGGTTGAAGAGTTCACTCGTCACGCTGAAGACCCGGGTTCGATTCCCCACATGGGTACAATGTGTGAAGTCCATTTCTGGTGTAGCCCGCTGTGATATTGCTGGAATATTGCTAAAGGGCACACCGACGGGACGGCACACATGACCTGGACTCGATTCCATCTGTGTTCACAGTCTTTAAGACTCGCTTTCTAAGGTCTGCTGTGATAATACTGTACTTAGGTACATAACGGTACTTTCCTTGATGGGGCGGTGGGGTAGCTTTGTGGTTCGATCGTCACGTTGCAGACCCGGTTCGATTATCCACATGGGCACAATGTGTGAAGCCCATTTCTGGTGTCCCCCTCCGTGTTATTGCTATAAGGCGTCGGTCTGTAAATAATCGAGTCTGGACCAGACAATCCAGTGAACAACATCATGAGCATCGATCTCCGCAGTTGGGACACGATGACATGTGTCAACCAAGTCAGCGAGCCTGACCACCCGATCCCGTTAGTCGCCTCTTACGACAAGCATGGGTTACTGAGGATCAATTCTAACCCGGATCTTCATTGGGGCGACTAAATAAGCCGTTCGGCCTGGCTCAGTGATTTTGTTGGCAGCGTGTCATTGAATCCCCATGGTCACTGTTCACAATAGCAATCACTGGATTGTCTGGTCCTGCTTCGAATATTGGTGACAGCGGCGGTGAGAATATCTACTGTAAGCTTATCTCGGTAAACTTGATCATACGATGTCTTCAAAACATGTGTTCTTTTACTACAGCGTTATTGTTGACAACTGGTTACCCACAAATACTTCAGTTGATAGAACGATAAACTAAAAAATATTTATTTATGGCTTCCTACAAAATATTTCAAAGACAGAAATGAAGGAGCAACAATTAAAGTAAAACCATCGGCCAGAACGAAATATAGATATGTTTGATTACAGCTAGCTTTTCTCAGTCAATGGTCAGTCTAGTGTTCAGAGACTGGCCATGATCTAGTAGGATATGGTCAGTCTGGTGTTCAGAGACTGGCCATGATCTAGTAAGATATGGTCAGTCTGGTGTTCAGAGACTGGCCATGATCTAGTAGGATATGGTCAGTCTGGTGTTCAGAGACTGGCCATGATCTAGTAAGATATGGTCAGTCTGGTGTTCAGAGACTGGCCATGATCTAGTAGGATATGGTCAGTCTGGTGTTCAGAGACTGGCCATGATCTAGTAGGATATGGTCAGTCTGGTGTTCAGAGACTGGCCATGATCTAGTAGGATATGGTCAGTCTGGTGTTCAGAGACTGGCCATGATCTAGTAGGATATGGTCAGTCTGGTGTTCAGAGACTGGCCATGATCTAGTAGGATATGGTCAGTCTGGTGTTCAGAGACTGGCCATGATCTAGTAGGATATGGTCAGTCTGGTGTTCAGAGACTGGCCATGATCTAGTAGGATATGGTCAGTCTGGTGTTCAGAGACTGACCATGATCTAGTAGGATATGGTCAGTCTGGTGTTCAGAGACTGACCATGATCTAGTAGGATATGGTCAGTCTGGTGTTCAGAGACTGACCATGATCTAGTAGGATATGGTCAGTCTGGCGTGCAGAGAACTGGGCCCTTATTCTCGAAACGTTCGTAGCCCTAAGAATTCTTAACTCTGATCGTAGCCAATGTGTTAAGAATGGGCTTAAGAAGTTCGCAGGGCTACGAACGTTTCGAGAATAGCTAGCCAGGGTCCCGATCCACAAAGCATTCGTAGCGCTACGACATTCGTAAGCCCATGATAAACTATAGAGTTACGACAGGTCGTAACGTTACGAACGTTTCGAGAATAGCTAGCCTGGTCATCATCTAGTGAGTTAACAGTAGTGCATCGCCTGCCACCGGTGTCTCTAGAAATGTTGTATATTCTTATTTGTGGCTGAACAACATATATTTATGAGTTTAAACATTTGAAGAGAAGTACATGTGTTCATGTGTTCTGTCTGTAACAAATCATGTTGAAAATGTATAAAGAGGATTACGCCCACGACTTGTATGTACATCGTACACTTTCACTATTTGTTTTGATTATATCCCAGCACTATTACCTGACACCTATTCCGTCAACATACCCAAGTATAGTAAGTGGCCCCACCCGTTTGCCCTTTAAATACATAATGAAATGCTCTTTTATCGTTTCATAACAATTCAGACCAGTCCACTCGCACTGTACAGGGGTGTAACAGGTGCGCTGTATGTCCAATGGAGAAATGTCCTGTAAACAAAAACGTCTTAATATACATCGCAGTAAGACGCCGAAAACACGTTGTCCACGTGATGCGTCAGCGACCTTCACACATGTGCATACCGTCGCTTATTCATGTTAAATAACGCAAAAGCTCTTTTCAAAGAGAATCGTGACTGGACCTTAGCCAAGCGAGCCACGCTTTAGAATTTCTTACAAAACGTGGTGACGAAGGTTTATATGGGCTGATTACTAAATGGTTACATAAATGTTTGACAACCATGAGTTTTGAAAAGGACACCGACAGTATATCGCCCGAATATTCTGGATACGTTAATGGGGTAGAATGCTCATCGTCTTGTTGTGTCTTGTAAATTGAACGTTTGTTGGTTCAAAGACTGGGATATCATCTACTGTGAGCGTTTCGTGACTAGCCTGATACGTATATAGACGAGGTCACACATTCACCTTGTATAAAGGACGAAATGAATCGCGTATTAACACATGGACCTAATCTATGATCGACGTCATTAAAAGTACAGGACCATAGGAAGATAGCCATTAAGATAAATATTAGAAATAGACATTGCTGGATATCAAAGTAAAAATGTGATTGTTTGTCTACAGACGCCATATTTTTAAAATCCAAACACTTACTGTAACCATTGCAAGTTGTCCAGTCGGCGGAAATATATGGCATCAGTGTTACGATTACAGAACGGGACTGTTATTTTCTCATATATATGTCCAGCTTCCGTGTAGAATCTGTTGATTTACAATTCGATAAAAACATGAAACAATATTTAGGCATGTTTTCATTTGAATATGTGACACATCAAGTCAATTGCGCATTTAGGCGTTTCTTCCTCGACTGGTTTTGCTATGATGTTGCGAAACGACTGAGTGATTCTGCCTCAACCCAGACATCAGTTAATCTCCATTAAATCGTTCAATAAAACGTAATGTTGCACTGAGAGACAATCGGGACACTGGTTCTCAAGCTCTAAAGTACAGTGACCTTCTAAAATACACGTACCTGTAACTGTACATTCTAAATTCACAATTTATAGTTACTGTCCTTAGATTTGGCTACGATATTTGGGTGTAGCCTACGTTACGTAAGTACACATGTACTTAAATCCACCCATGCTTGCCTCGCGTCTCGAAGTCCGAGATACATCCTGGTAAAGAACATTTGGGTGATTATCTGCGATGTTGTGTACATCCGAAAAAAACTTCTCCACTGTGATGGAATATATATACCTGTATACAATGAACCTTCATTAGCCCGGACACCTCATTAAGCGATGTTGGGAAGAGGTTAGGTGAGCCGACCTTCCCTTGTGTGTCCAGTTCATGTCGAGTGACCGGCAGGTACCATCTTTGTAGCGTCCAAGGGTTCGAACATCCTGATCTCTGGACGGACAATCGGTAATATAGTTTTCTTTATAATGTATGGGAATGTGAACACTGCTGTAGGTAGGAGTGATTGATCAGGTTTCCGTTTTGTTAGATGTATAGTAATATGTAAAATATCCCACAAAGTTTACAATATTACATATTACATCATAAAAAACATTATCAGCAGTTAGTAAGTCCCATTCAACCACAAATATGCGGAAATGTATAAGGTATATGTGGATGGGTGTGGCTCGACCTAGTCAAGGAAACATATATAAATATCTTAACCTATGACAGACACTCAGTAATATAGTTTTCTTTATAATGTATGGGAGTGTGAACACTGCTGTAGGTAGGAGTCATCGATCAGGTTTCCGTTTTGTTAGATGTATAGTAATATGTAAAATATCAAACAAAGTTTACAATATTACATATTACATCATAAAAAACATTATCAGCAGTTAGTAAGTAAGTCCCATTCAACCACAAATATGCGGAAATGTATAAGGTATATGTGGATGGGTGTGGCTCGACCTAGTCAAGGAAACCTATATAAATATCTTAACCTATGACTTTGAATTGAGAACCTGTTTTGCGACTTATATTTATATGTACTTATATATAACTTATATCTATATATACACCCTACGTGTTTGGCTCACCCATATGGGCGTAATATGACCTATGTAGGTGTGTGATATAGATATATAGAACAGAACTTCCTTCTCTCAGACCAATATACCTTCCTCCTATCATGTAAACATGCGTGGATAGTACATGTTACACGAAGGCGGAGGGGTTTTCATTAGGATTTATCACGTTTCTGGATGATATTACAGAATGTGCCTAATTATTCACGATTCCAAGTTTTGTACGTTTGAAGAGAGTTTGAGAACCTAACATTGTCGGTTGAGCACCTTTTGGGGGATTCTAAACATCCACCTTCCATACTTGCCTATTTGAGAAATTACATTCTATTACGAGAATATCATATTAGCTTCTATGAGCCATCATGAGATAATCCAGTATTAGTGAAAATTGTCTGTATAGATGATGACCATTTAAATGATTACAATTAATAACTGTAACTTTTTAGAGTGAAAAGAAGAATACAGTTTTTGTCAGTTTCGCGAGAAATGTTCTTCATCCAAACGCTGACCGTTGTTTTAACCTAAACAAATTTGAAG